TAATAAGCCTGAAGCACAGAGTAGTTGGGATGGAGAAAAGGTTAACCTGTGACTAGAAAGGACAGAGATCAGGAACAGATTGTGAGGGTCAAGAGTAATGATTTTAACCAAGTGGCAATTGGAAGGAAATAACATTACCAGGTGCTGCGCTGTTTTGAAAGCTCCTCCCAGCCGTGTGTGAATGGCAGCACTACTGAACACCAGCCAGAATCTGCTGGAGAAGTCTGAGTACGAAATAATGAAGATCTGAGCAAAAGCAGTGGACATGAGAGCATCTGGAAGGCAGAATCAACCAAAGTGGCTGACAGGTTGATATGGGCAGAAAAGAAAGGAGAAGGAATGAGGATAACTCCGGATTTCTAGATTGGTAAATGGATTCTGTCATAAACTGACTGTAGTCTCAGGAGAAGGAGAAGCAGAGTCGTGGGAAGATAATGAATGCTATTTGTGACATGTTACATTTGAGGTGCCTGTGAGCTGTACAAGAATTCTGAGCCCAATTAAAACCCTCAGGTATTAAAAGTTTATATCTGATGCACTAGTCCCAGCAATTAAACTAAAAAAAAAACATATAACAAATAACGTATAACAAAACCATATAACAAATGTGAGGAAGGCTAAAAATGTTTTTTTCCTAATATTGGCTCTTTTAAAAACATTACCAAAAAAACCACCAACAACAAAACATTAAAATAAAAACAGACAAAAAACAAACAAACAAACAAAAAAACCGTAGACTTAAATATATATTATAGACCCTCACTGGATTGCTCAGTTGGTTAGAACTCATCCTGATAAACCAAGGTTTCGAGTTCAATCCCTGGTCAGGGCACATACAAGAATTAACCAATGAATGCATAAATAAGTGGAACAACAAATCAATGTTTCTCTCCCTCTATTCCCCCCCTTTTTCTCTCTAAAATCAATAAAAATATATAATATATGTTTATTTATACAAATGTATTTATATACCACTTTTTTAACTGCCACTGCTTGGCAAATAACAGAAACGTGTGCATAGACGGACTGCCTGTTGGGTATCCAGCCTAGGAGATGATCACTCTGCAGTGGTCAATCCTACTTCCTTCTCCACAGCTTCCCACAGGCTGAAGAATTTACATACCTGCCCACAGCAAATGTGCTGAAGGTTTCACACTAACATAAGCCCACAGAAATCAAGCAGAAAGAAGCAGTTCATAATGTGTCTGAACAGATCCAGTTCATGAGTCTCGTTCATAGCTGTTCTTGTTCTGTTTCCATTTACAGTCCAAGCACTCTGACCATTGCTTACTTTCTTATTTGATACAGTCCTTGCATTTTCATGCCAGCTTGTCCATTAAGTAAATAGTACATGTTTTCCATCTGCCAATGTTTTTCAAATGATTTCTATCAAAATCTCCTGAAGGGCTTGTTAAGCTAGATTTTGCAGCACTACCTCCAGGGGACCTAATTCAATAGGTTTGAAATAGGGCCAGAGAATTTGTTTTTCCAACAAGTTTATAGGTGATGCTGCTGTTGCTAGTCAAGGAATTGCAAAAGTAATATGCCAATTGCCCATGGCCAATGCAATTTAAAGAGAAATGAACCAATAAATTAATTTTTAAAATTTGCTAGAACATATTATAAAAAGAAAACATGATAAAAGTAGGATATGTTCTTATCCAAGAATAACCAGGGTAATTGGGATGGGCAGTCATGTGTTTTTTTTAATAAAATAGGAGATTATTTGCCATGATGTTCTACATTGTTTTGGTTTTTAAAAGCTGACCCTAACAATATTTACAGGCAAGCATTAAGTCTCCTTCTATTCAAAAAGTAGTTGATGACAAAAAGGATAAAGTAACTAATTTTGCATTTCAAGACATTCTAGATGGCTGTCACACATACTGGCACAAAGCAAGACCGATCCTTAAAGAGAATAAAAGGTAAATTGAGTCCATAGTTCTTAGTTGAGAAGCTATCTTTAATTGCTTTATTTCTGAATTTTTGCAAACCACATGCCCTTCTCTGAGTAAACACAAGGAAATATTTTGGAGTCTTTTACTTTCTCACTTACAGTTCCATACTATTCAATTTTATTTCTTTATTGACTACTGGAGGCCTGGTGCACGACATTCATGCAAAGGGGGGACATTCCTAGCCTGGCCTGCACCTTCTCAAAGTTTGGGACCCCTCAGGGGATGTCTGACAGCTTAGACCCGCTCCCTGCCTAACTTGGACATCCCCCAAGGGGGCCTTAGCACTGCTCCAGAAGCAGGAGAGGCTCTCACCACCATCACTGTGCGCTCGCCAGTCATGAGCCTGGCTTCTGGCTGAGCAGCACTCCCCCTGTACAAGCGCACTGACCACCAGGGGGAAGCTCCTGCATTGAACGCCTGCCCCCTGATAGTCAATGCTCGTCATAGCGATTGGTTATTCTGCCATTCAGTTGATTTGCATGTAAGCCTTTTATTATATAGGATGATCTGGTACTACTTTTAAATTGAAAATAAATGAGACAAGAAATTTTTAACCCTATTTTTAGTAAATACTAAAGCATTATCATAAAGTGAAATGAAGGGAAGAACATATTAATCTTAATAGGAGTTACTGGGGGATCCAGTAACATGGTTAAAGGTAATTGTCCTCCAACAAAAGCTTGAGAGAGGGGTTGTAAGTTTATCTGAGCATGTGGTTGGTTAGATGGTTAGCCACTATATAGGGATTTCCCACTGGAAGTATAGTTTAGCAAAGCAAAGGTTGAGAAGATTGTTTTTGTTTGTTTAGGATTTTGCCCCACATTTAAAATTAGAAAAAGGGGCCAAGATAAAATTATACTTCTATTTTGTGAAAAGTAATAAAAGATCTCATTGACAAGAATCTTATTTCACTAGAGTTTGAATGTTGTTGTGTTTTACATAATTATTTGGTGTATAGTAGACTGGAGTGCCAATTCATGAGAAAGACAAAGGGTGACCCAGCGATTCCACTTCTGAATATATATCCAAAGAAACCTAAAACACTAATTCAAAAGATATGTGTACCCTATGTTCATTGCAAAGTTATTTACAATAGCCAAGATATGGGAGCAACCCAAGTGCCCATCAATAAACAAATGGATAAAAAGTAGTAGTACATATGTATACTAATGTAATGGAATATTACTTGGGAGCAAAAAGTAATGAAATCTTACCATTTGCAACAGCATGTATGGACCTAGAGGCTATTATGCTAAGTGAAATAAGTCAGAGAACGACAAATACCATATGATTTCATTTACAAGTGGAATCTAAAGAACAAAATAAATGAACAATTGAAAAAACTCAGAGACAGAGAACAGATTAATGTTGCCAGAGGGAGTGGGGGTGGGGGAATGGGTGAAAGAAGGTAGAAGGGATTAAGAAGTATAGATTGGTAGTTACAAGACAGTCAAGGGGATATGAAGGACACCATAGGGAATATAGTAAATAATATTGAAATAAATATGTCTGGTGCCAGGTGGGCACAGGAATTATCTGAGGGTGAGGGTAGAGAGAACACTTTGTAAAATAGATGATTATCTAACCACTATGCTGTACACCTGAAACTAAATACAAAATAATATTGAATGTAAATTGTAATTGGGGGGAAAAAGCCAAAGGGGGAAGTGCTTTAAAAATATTATAAAAGGGCTGAAACCGGTTTGGCTCAGTGGATAGAGCGTCGGCCTGTGGACTGAAAGGTCCAAGGTTTGATTCTGGTCAAGGGCATGTACCTTGGTTGCGGGCACATCCCCAGTAGGAGGTGTGCAAGAGACAGCTGATCGGTGATTCTCTCTCATCGATGTTTCTAACTCTCTATGCCTCTCTTTTCCTCTCTGTAAAAAAAATCAATAAAAACATATTTTAAAAAACTTAAAAATATATTATAAAAGGAATCAATGAGGTTTACTAAGGCTTCCCCTTAAACTCTAAGGCTTAGAGCAAGGATTCCAATTCCTCTTCAGAGAATTAGTATCCCCTCCAACACACCTGGGCTGCTCCCCCCGCCACCACAACTTCCTAAGAAAAATGAGAGCCTGTATTTCCTCCTGAATTCCAAGTGAGCCTTCACTGCATAACTCCACATGACAGAATCCTGGCAAACTAAATGGTAGGTAAACATAGGAACAGGATACGGAATAAGTAAACATGAACAGGAAACAGCTCTCTTGCAAAAAGCCAATATTTAACAAATGTTATGCCTAATGAAGCACATTCATCTGCTTTTCACAATTTTCTGTTTTGTTTCAATACAAGACCACCAAAAAATTTTATCGTGGCAAGCATTTTTTTTTTACTTTAGCATTTCATTGAGTTGCCATGTTCTAGTTTATTTCCTTTAGTCTTTAAATGTTGCTACTTTTGTAGCAACACTTCCAAGTAAAAAAAAAAAAAAAAAAGTCTGCACCAAGTTTCTCAATAGTAAAAAGGGTCAGCTTTGAAAAGACACTATCGTTGCTATGTTGGAAAAAAAATGCTGTATACATTAAGAAAGCATTGAAGCACTAGGTAACATAGGGCTTGCTTCTGGTTTCTTTCGTTTTCTTCACCATTAAGCTTATGCTGGGTTTGAGATAGACTTCGCTGTGCAGATCACGAGGCGTGTGGTGATAATGAACAACTTCAGTGATTCCAGGAATGCCTGGGGGAAAAACTTCAAGTGATTCCCGTGCACCTATTCCGGTGGTTGCTTTTTAAAGCTCTGAAAAGTCTGTTGCACCAGGTGTTCCTCGTCTCCACTGGAGGGAGGACTTCGAGCGTCCATCCAGGTTTCCACCTGTCTCCTTCCCCCTCTCCAGCTCTCACGTTTCCTTTCTCCAAGGTGCAGCCCTGCATGCCTCTGAGAGCGGATTCCTCCGCTGGCTTTTCCCGGCTGCCTGGCCCCACGTGACGTCCCCTAACACCTGTACCATCTCAGCTCACAGCGCCCCCATCCCCGCCGCCAGGTAACAGACCCTGCCCGGCTCCCCAGCTCCCCCTTCCCCTAGGAGGTCTCGATCTGAGCGCCAGCCTCGCTCGGGCCGGCAGGGGAGGGGCTGGCTGAGCTCCGGCCAAAGCGGCAGCGAGAGCCCGTGCAGCCTGATTATCACATGACTCCGCGGCGGCGGCGGTAGCCGTGGCAGCAGCAGCGGCGCCGGCTCCGCGGGTCCACCCGGTGGGCTCCGCTCCGTTCCGCTCCCGCAGGAGCGCAGCGCGGCAAAGGGTCGGGAAGGGACCTGCAGCCCGCGAGCTGCGGCCGCCCAGCCGCTCTCCCAGCCCGGCCCGCCCGCTCGATGCCTCTGGTTGCGGAAGTGCAGCGGGGGTAGGCGGCGGCGCGGAGCGCGGGAGGCCCGGGCTCGGCCCCCTGCAGCACTAAGGGCTCCGGGAGCCCCGCGGCGCGTCCCGAGCGCTGCCGCCGCCGCCCGCGCGCCCGGCGCCCGCCGCAGCCTGCATGCCCCGCGCCTCCGCCGCAGCCCGCTGCTCGCACCGCCGCCGCTGCCGGGCGCCGGAGTAATATGCTCACTCGGGTGAAATCTGCCGTGGCAAATTTCATGGGAGGCATCATGGCTGGCAGCTCGGGCTCCGAGCACGGCGGCGGAGGCTGCGGAGGCTCGGACCTGCCCCTGCGCTTCCCGTACGGGCGGCCGGAGTTCCTGGGGCTGTCTCAGGACGAGGTGGAGTGCAGCGCCGACCACATCGCCCGCCCCATCCTCATCCTCAAGGAGACCCGACGGCTGCCCTGGGCGACCGGATACGCAGAGTGAGTGCCGCGAACCCACCCCGGCGGGTCCCCCCTCCTCTCCTCGCGGCCCTTCCCCGCACGGCTGGCTCCTAACCTCCTGCTCTCTTCTGGTTCCTCAGCCCCAGGGCTCTCCGGCTGCAGGCGCCAGGCCTCACCGGGCACCTAGGCGGGTACCTGACCGCATTCCCGGCTCCTCCACGCCCCCTTCCCCCATCCCCAAGGACGCGGCGTCTCCTGTGCGGGTGTGGGTGGTAGATGGGTAGGTGAGGCGCTAGACCGTGGGAAAGCGGAGGTTGGACGGATCTGTGATTTTTTTTTCGGGGGGCTGTGGCACTTGGGAATGCGTAGAGCAGTTCTGCTGAAGTTCGAGATGCAGCGGGGACATCTGGGATCTGTGTTCCCCACCCCAAACCTGTGTGCCTTCAGGTGAAGTGGAGCGATCCCCGCGCCAGGGGTGGGGGTTGGGGTGGTGTCCGAGCCCTGGAGGCGGCCGCATTCGCTTCCGAGGTTGCACACTTCGGAAGGTCTCCGTTTCCTGACTTCAGCCTAATAGCTTGTTCGCTTCCCTGTTTGCAGGTAGTTAAATCCCTGCGCGTACGTTAAAATGCCAGTGCAATTCCCTCCAGCCCTTCGGGAGGGGAAAACTTGTTCCAGGTGTTTAAGGACAGCGTTTTGGTGATCCGCTTTGGCGATTCTACGAGCGTTTTTTGCCTGATTGGCTATTTCAAGAACCCACTGAGTTTTGTTGACGCCCTGTTGTGGAGCAGGGCAAGGAGGGCGGGAGGTTTTAATGGCCTCTGCCCCCCTCCGCCGCTACTCCCTCATTGACTCTATTAATGACCATTTTATGAATGGTAGGAGAAGTGCTGTTTCTCCCCCCTCCCCCGTTTAGCCTTATGGAACTGCAAAACTCCGAAGGTGGGATTTAAGAGCACGGAGTTGGGAGGTTGGCAGTGACCTGGTGGTTGCAAACATCGCACGTGAAGCCCCTGTGCCGGGCACACCTGCCCCTTCGGCTTTAACTGGGTCCGCTCTGCGATCCCGGCCGCCCTCGCCCGTGCACAGCCTCGCCCGCTGATTGGTTCCCGGTGAGCCAATCAGCTCTCCCTCCCGACGCCTGAGCGCTTTGATGCTGACCCTGTTCTGGTGGCCCGGATACCCCCTGCGGGCCGGCTGGGTTCCCCGGGCACTCTGGCTCAGGCAGAGAGGTGGCCTGGAAAATGCCCTGCTTAGAATCTGGAATCTCCTCTTCCTCCCCCACTTCCCACATATAACCGTTCCTCCAGGGGCTGAAAAGGAAAATGTGTATCAATGGGGATAGACAGAGTGTGAGAGTGAGGAATCCGAAGTGGAACTGCTGGGTGCTGAAACAAAAATCAACACCATAGAGGGTTAGCATGGAAGAGAACGTTGAGGGTGGGAACGTACAGAATACTTGTGTAACTTCCAGGAGAAAGCCAAAACAAAAACAAACACCTCTGAAAGGAAAGACCTAAAGGAGGGAAAAGTGCAGCGTCTTGGCTGCAGTAAGAAAGCATTGTTGAAAAGCTCATTTGGACCCTTTGCAAGACACAAAGCACCTTGAAGGCATATTCCGCCCTGCAGTTGTGTAGATGGGCCCTTGTGCCTTACCCCAGACCTGAAAGGGGAGGGGGGGGTGTCACTCCAGTGGGCTTTCCATGGCAAGGGCACCTGTCCGGGGAGTGGAGAAAGACAAGTAGGCAAATGGTGAGAGGTAGGAAGGAAGCTGTTAAGACACAAAATGTGGAAGCCTCTTGGGCACAAGAAAAGAAGTACCACCAAAACTGGTTTGGCTCAATGGATAGAGCCTGGCCTGCGGACTAAAGGGTCCCGGGTTCGATTCCAGTCAAGGGCATGTACATACCTTGGTTGCAGGCACATCCCCAGTGTGTGTGTGTGTGTGTGTGTGTGTGTGTGTGTGCGCGCGCGCGCGCGCGCGCGCAAGAGGCAACTGATCGATGTTTCTAACTCTCTATCCCTCTCTCTTCTTCTCTGTAAAAAAAAAAATCAGTAAAAAATATTATTTTTTTTTTAAAAGAAAAGGAGTACCTCAGAGAAGCAGGACAGATCGGAAAGGGGGAAACCCCACCAGTTTCAGAATGTTTGAATCCTGTGGCCGGCACACAATGAGCCAAGGGCTGTAGAGATGATCAGGGAATCTGAAATGAGACATGTAGGAGAAGTTGTACTTCTGGGGCCCTACCTCTTCCTAGCTGGGCTTCAGTTTCCTTATTTCTAAGACCAGGACACGAGAGAGGATCAATTTGAAGGCTAAGAAAGGCCATTGTAAAATGCTTCATTTTAAAAATAGTACATGTTAATTCAAGCTAAAACCAGTATGTAAATGTAAGCCCTTTCTCAGCCCCCAGGGGCAGCTGTGATTCAGCATTTTGTGAGTGTGCCTTCTAAGCTTCTTCGGATGCACCTGTAAATATGTATCATGCATTTCTTCTTTTCCCCCAAAAGATCCATACTATGCCTGTTGTTCAGTAGCATTTTCTTAAATCACGGTGTCACTGGTTTTATCCCAAGTCAGTACACATAGAAGTGCCTCATTCTTTTAAAATGTATCATAGTACTAATAGCAGCTAGCAGTTAGTACTTGCTGTTTAGTGCTTGCATTCTTTCCAGGTTTGTGTTATATCATTTGATTCTTACAACAACCCTCTAAGGCAGCTATTTTCAACCTTTTTCATCTCATGGCTCACATGAACTAATTATTAAAATTCTGCAGCACAACAGAAATATATTTTTTGCTAATGTGACAAAAAAAATAGGTATAATTTTGATTTATTCACCCTGGATGGCTATTGTTGTGATGGCTAGTGCCATTTATTTTTATTTTTTAAAAAAATATATTTTATTGATCTTTTACAGAGAGGAAGGGAGAGAGATAGAGAGCTAGAAACGTCAATGAGAGAGAAACATCAACCAGCTGCCTCTTGCACACCCCCTACCGGGTATGTGCCCGTAATCAACGTACATGCCCTTGACTGGAATCGAACCTGGGACCTTTCAGTCCGCAGACAGACACTCTACCGCTGAGCCAAACCGGTTTCGGCTGGCTAGTGTCATTTAAATGTGACAATCTAAGGGAAAAAGGTCAGTGCCTCTGACTAAATAGTCAGGAATTGCATGCTTTAAAAAAATCTTGTGGCATACCAGTTGAAAATCGCTCTAAGGTGAGCACTAACAATTTCATTTTATAGATGAAGGTACAGAGGCATGGAATGGTTACATAACTTGCCCAGAGTTATACCACCTTAGCAGAACCTGTATTTGAACCCAAGCAGCCTGACTCGGTAGCCCACAACAACAAACTACCTCCTTACAATGTATGAAATTGTGGTACATCCATCTGTACCCACAGTTAACCATTAACATTGTCTTGCCACCTCCCTCTGTCAGATGTTGTACCTTATCACTTCCTCAAACCTTGAATTGTAGTTATCTTCCTGCAAAATATATCTTGAATGACCAAAAATGGTTGAAATAGGGAAGGGGAGGGAAAGACAAGTAGGAACTGGTGCTATGATTAAAGGCTGCTGCCATTAAAATTGCCCCTTGCTACAGGGTATATTGGGAGGAGGAATTATCTTCTCTTTGTCCTAGAAGGTACTGGAGAAGGGATGACATTGGTAGGAAGATTGCTCAGAGAGTGGAGATACGAGAGATGGCACTGAGTTGGGGCCTGAGTCAGAAGTGGTTTGCTTATCTCTCTGGAGAGAGAGTTACTTGCTAAGCTTTCCTGGGGAGGAAGACTTGGCATCACTGGGTGAGACATTGAGGAGTCAGAGGAGACTGGAGTTCTAGTGTTGATGGCTTTTTGGATGGTAGAAAAATTGAGAAATGGTTTATTTGTTGCCACTTATTATTAATCCCTTTCAAGAAGAGATACTTTTGCCGAAACCAGTTTGGCTCAGTGGATAGAGTGTCGGCCTTCGAACTGAAAGGTCCCGGGTTCAATTCTGGTCAAGGGCATGTACCTTGGTTGTGGGCACATCCCCAGTAGGGAGTATGCAAGAGGCAGCTGATCGATGATTCTCTCTCATCGACGTTTCTACCTCTCTATCCCTCTCTCTTCCACTCTGTAAAAAGAAAAAGAAAAAAAAATCAATAAAATACAATATATTAAATAAATTAAAAAAAAGAAGAGATACTTTTTATAGAACATTGAACTAGAGATTTGGGGATCCAGAAACTGAAGACCCACATTTATTAAGTCAACTAGAACCCAGTACGCGAAATTCGTGCATGGGTAGGGTCCCTAGCAGCTGCCGGCTGCTGGCCGGGGCCTTCTCCTTCGGTCTGTGCCACCCCCTGGTGGTCAGCGCATATCATAGCGAGTGGTCAAACTCCCAGTCTCCCCGTAGAACTCCCTAGGAGACACTTTGCAAATTAGGCTTTTATATCTCTAGAAGATATTTATTGGCAATGGGTGGGGTGGGATTTCCTGGTTCCTCTAAAAGCTTCCTATTATGGCTGAAAAGTTAGCTGCGTGATTAAGGGCTACATGCTAGGTTTACAAGCACTGAAGTTACAGACAACATCCATAGAGCTAAAATCTTCCCCACAACTTGCATTCTAGTTTGGCTTTGAAATTCCCGACTTAGCCTGTTAGGTCTGCTCAGAGTGAGGCCATTCGAAGCATCAATCTGACCCAGAGACCCTTCCCAGCAGCTACTTGCTTTCTCTCTCCACAAGTTTAAGTACCACCCAGGTGGGCCCTGTGCTTCAGGGATCTAGAAGTCAGTTCGATTTCTAGTTGGCTAGGAGCCCATTTTGACTTTTCTTCTTTCTGACCTGTTTGTCCACCTTTCTCCTACTGATGGCCATTTGGACATAGATATATAAGTGGATATCTGAAACTTACAGCAGTAGAGAATGCCAGAGAATGTGCAGCTCCCTATCTGTGAAAGCAGCATATTCAGGTTTTTATCTGTGATAAATTTCTTGGCTTGTACAGAAAGAATAATAATTATAGCATAATTTTACTT